GAAACCATCTAATCGAATACGAAGATGACGCCGAGTTTCGAAAAGTATTTGATGATTATGAAGGGCCCTTCAAAAATTATTTCTTCTTTTTCAACGAGCCGCCGGTGTTGAAGTGTTGGCACGAGCCGGAGTGCTCGAAAATTGGTGAGTTTGGCTTGATTTTTTTAGTTTTTCGTCTTCAGACTTTGGGAGATTAGCGCGATGTTTAAAGGGGTTGGTTATAACCTTTGATAAAATGTCTTTTTTCAGCCTACCCCGCAAACGTCCCACCCGAACTTGCCGTCCACTACTTCAGCTGTGCCACCGAAGTTGAACAAAATTTCATCAAAATGCACTCCGTCATGGATCGGTCACTTCGCTACTTGCGATACTTCAAATCTATCGAATCTGCGCTATGTGTACGATACCTCCTGGAAGACCTCTTGGCCGAAGGGGTCCCGATGAAGGAATTTGATTTCCATTTCCTCTGCTTTTCCGACAAGCAACGGGTCAGCGAGACGAGGTGGAGCCCATTAACCTCCTTCAAAGAATTGGACACCATGGATTATCCAAAAAACTTCTTCATCGAAGCCCCGGGACCACGAGAGGTTCGCGCATGGACCCCAATTCTGGAGCGAAAAAGTGTAAACAGCAAAATGATGGTCGTGAGCGATGTGGCGAAGTTTGGCTTTGGACACGTCTGGCCGATCATAAGTCGACTTCAGTTTTGGGTGAATCGCTGGCATGGTGAGTGAATTTTGAAGTTTTTGTCGGCTAAAACAGCTTTGTCTTGGCTAGGCTTCTTAGGCTTCGGCTCAGGCTTAGGCTTAGGCTTAGGCTTAGGTTCAGGCTTGAGCTAGGCTTAGGCTTAGGGTTCGAATTGACACTAATGCTCTTTACCCTCAAATTGTTTTTTCAGAACCTGACTTCCACGGCCACACCGGTGATTTCTGGAAAAAAATCGTGAAGCAATATGAAACAGAAATTGTGGGGCTGCTGAACGATTTCCACGACGGACGTTTCATGCTGAAGTTGAAGCAGGAAAGACGAGAAGAATCAAAGTATTGTAAGAATGCCCGGCCGCCGTATCGGAAAGAGAGGCGGGAGAAATGGGCACAGCGTCACCACTAATTGAGAAACGTGATGACGTTGTTGTCTGATTTGACGAGATATTTATAGAATTAAAGCCTTGTACACATCGATTTGCTCGCTTCTAATTTTCTACTCACCACATTGCTCTCACTAGCGTAAACAATTCCACTAAACGGATCATCGTTAAAATTGCTCCCGACGAACTTTATGGGTGTTTTTGAGGATAGTCATGTGGCAGCTAATTACCATTAAATGTCGGGGGGACTACTGTATCCCGGAGTTAGCTCTCAGCCTTGGAGGATCGAAAAACGCTAGACGTTTTTTGCCTTTTGAAATGACATATCTCTCTCCCTTCTCTCTCTCTGACTCTTTCGCTCTCGTTCTCTCTGTCTCTCTCGCGCTCTCTAGTTCTCCCTCGCTCTATCTCCCGCTCCCTCTCTCTCTCTCCGTCTCTCTGTCTCTCTTTAGCCTCCTCCTGAAAATTTCGCTGAGGCTGAGGCAACAAATTGAGAGAGCGATCGTAAATCCCTTGAAGAGGTCCTGTTTGTCACCACTAAATTTCGAAAGGTAGGACAGAGCATCACACGCTGTAGGGATCGAGTCCAAAATGTCACGCTTCCGTTAAAGAGCCCCGCAAAGCAGCGGTATGAATTTTTCGATTTGTGCTATGGATCTGATTGGTTTTCGGGATGCGCGATTAATATGTCACCAGGTTGAAAAGCCGCTTCGTGACTTTTCAAACCTGGCCCCGTCTGACTGAGCCCATGCTTGTCCTCACTTTGCATCAACTCCCGAATTCCGCTGTGAAAAAATCGAAAGCGCCACCTCGCTACCCCCACTTCCGGCATATGCTAATTGATCACTAACTAATAAAGGTCATCAAAATTTTTCACAGAAACTTAATTTTAATATCGGAAATAGTTGATTTTGAAAAATCCGAGAGTTCGGCGGTCATCTAGAGTCATTACGCATCTAATGACGTAGCATGGCCTTATATTATTCCCCTTATCGAGTTAGCACTGGAACACCATTACGGAAGTTGCATGCAAATGCACACACACAGACACTATTTTTTTATATATAGTAGGATAATGGCGAATTTCGGTTGCCCATGCGGTGCGGCAAAACCCATAGCTCTACCTACCGTTAAAAGCTGTTCCCAGCTCTCGCTCCATGTACCTACAAATTGACAAAGAGCTCATAAATCCCATCTCCTCACCCAAAGGCCCCATTTGTCGACTCTACTCTCGAAAGGTGAGACGGAGCTCCTGGCTTGGAGCATGAGGCTGCGCCTCTGCCCGCGTGCCCGGCCGCTGTCGTAAACCCGACCCGTCGGCGCGTAAAAGGGACTGTAAACGGGAGCCCTGTGGAGGCGCCCAGGTGAAAGGCTGGCCGCCCTTTTTATTTCCACCTGACCCCCAAATTGTCTTTTAGCACTCGGGGGCCAGCCAGTCTTTGGAGAGGGTGACGGAACGATTAACGACATCACATCTGAGGGATGGCTATCATCAACAAGAGGGATGGGATTGTTGGATTGTTGATACTGTATACATGAAAATACCTCAAACTCATGGAAGTTGACGTTTTTAGAATCAGTATTCAGCTCTGCGGCATGCGGCAGGTCCTTAGAAAACCTAAAATTCTTAGGTAATTCTTAGGCTCTGATTACGGAAAAAAATCGTCAGTCATTGAACCAGGGCAATTCGGAATTGTGAATCCGCAGGGATCTCCGCCAGCATGCTTTTTCGGCATTTAATTATTTATTTATTTATAAATTTATTTCAGCTTGACAAGCCGGATCATAGAAAATTAGGTTCCCGCGGCTATGTTCTGGAGACAACACCGATTGGAAATTCTTGGGAAGTCGGCTAAAATTTACTGACGTAAGCCCGAGAAAAATCCACATTTTTCTTCTTCGAATGCAAAAAGCGTTTAATTTTTGACCGGCCGAAGCCAAAGTGATGAAAAAAGCTTTGAAAGTTGGCACAACCTCGAAAATTTCATATCAAGTCTATTTTTCTTTGCGCCAGTATGAATTATATGTCGTAACGCCCTATAATCCATCGTTTTCGTTAAGGTTGTGTCAATTTTGATTGTTTAAAATGCTGAAAAGATTAAAATACTTCAGGGTTCCAGAAATAACTTCAGAATTGGCAAATTCACTCGCTATCACATACAGAGAAGGGCAAAAAAAGGACACGCGGCGCAGTTGCGTCGCTGCCGTAACTGGCGCTCTGCAAGGAATTCAAGCTGCGGGTGAGATGCAATGTTTCTAGGGCTGGATTTTTCGGCCCTATAGCGATAGCAGAATTCCGAGGCAGCGGACGTAGGTCCGTATTTTTAACACGGTTCATCTTCTTACCCCACAGGTCTCATTCCACATTTGCGACGTCTTTCACTGTTCCAGCCATTAGAAGTTTATTCCGTTTTTGCTACGCTCATAACGACCCAACATTGTTAGCTTTTGTCAACGAATCGGGCTTTATGACCAGCTGGGATATCCGGGCTGGTGCGACGACTTCCCTCCCTCATTTTATTGGCGGGTATCGGGGGCAACTCCGCCTCTTCCCACTATACTCCGCCTAAATTACCGTAACCCCACCTCCGCCTGCCTGTATCGGCATTCCTTTGATGTGACACTAGGGGGAGATTTGTGGGCCAAACACACAACGATGACTAATTGTTTGCTGAGCAGTTTTTGGATTTTTGACGTTACTTCTTCTGAGAGATTCTGGCTCCTACTTCTGACAAAGTTTCACGATTGCTAATTTACTAGCACCTTAATTTGCTAAATTTTCTTAAAAACAACTTGCTCTGAATTTTAGTTCGGATTTTCATGAACTCTATTGTTTTTCAACAATTTATGAAACATTTTTCTCAATTTTGGCCGTTTTTTGGTGTCCAGCCGCCTTTAAATGCTCTCTAAAGGTTTCGATTGCCGAGCGGTAATTTTTGCTTCCTACCGCTCTCTCGCTCACTCACGGCATCTCTCTGACCCGCTCCCTCTCGTTCTCTTTTGCTGGCTAACTCTCTCGCTCCCTCTCTCTCGCTCACTCTCGTTCTCTCCCTCTCGCATCCCGAGCTTCCTGGTTTGCTATCACTCTCCAAAAGGGATAGGATTTTTCATGGAATTCTGACTGCTTGTAAGCCAACCAAAACCTTGCATCGGATTCTGAATAGAAAAGCACCCGCTGGGCAACACTGATCGGCTATAAGCAAAAAAATCTATACTGCCATGCCATGCCCGTCCCTTTAAAACCTCATGCTCCCAAGGTCTAAATCAATGCATCAATGCCCCAACCCGCAAGGGGCATCGTTTATCAAGTCAAGCGGCCCTGCCGGTATTCGCTCTCTCCCTCTCTTCTATCCCTGTGTGTTCCCCCTATTTAGTGCCCCATCAACCGTCCACCCATAAATGTCCCAAGAAGGCCTTTCGGTCCTCCCTTCCCCCTCTCCTAATGGCCCCCCATCGTCTCGCAGCGGCTGTCTAAATGAATTGACCGCCAGAATCCGATAACGGACGGCCGGCAGGGGGTGATGATGGGGTATTAAAAAATTGCGTTGCTTAAAAAAATTTGATGGCTGTCCTTTGGACTGATGCGGAATTTGAAGCGGGGTCAAGGTGTAGAAATCGGGATCGGTGTTTGGAAGTTACGGAAAAGGATTTTCAACAAGTAACGAAGCTAGAAATTATCTTAGTACAAGGAAGACAGAAGAACCGAACCGGGCCGCAGGTCAAGAAAGAGACAGAGAGAGAGCGAGAGAGAGATTGAGAGAGATTGAGAGAGAGAGAGACAGAGACAGAGACAGAGTGAGAGAGAGCGAAAAAATCGTACTGGCAAGGAATTCCCAGCAAAACATGAATTTTATAACCCACCAACTTTTCCTCATTCTCAAGCCCCAACCCAATCAGTCTATCGGGAAATTATACCCTGAAATCAGCGCTTCCTTCGACTTTATTGGGTTATAAAGGTAGATTCGGTTCACACCCGTGGCTTCCCTTTATCATTTTGGTAGGTGGACCCATAAATATTTACGGGGAGCAGCCCGAGGCAGCCCCCAAAAGAAGAAGCGAGGTGCGATGTTTTGGCCAACAGACTGAGTGATAGCTATGGGTCTTTCTCATTAGGTTCCTTGTATGTTAGTTTTAAGTATCTTAATTAATTTTGAAAAACTCAGCCATACGTTCAAGCAATCCTATAAGAATTTCTGCTTACTTGTCTTGCTTATTTAGTGACACTGGTTGGACAGTTACGTGATTTTCTAGTGTGAAACGAACCGTACCTTTTAAGGTATGAATAAGCTGTTGCGATTGTTTTTACCACTTCAAACTTTTGGAAATTTTTTAAGGCTTTTTAACGAGTCTGCAAACGTCGTCGTCTTGTCGAAATTTATCCATCGCGCGTTCTTAACGTCGAAATTTCATGATGTCTAAGTTTTATGTTTTCAAGCTTTCTGAATGTCGCAATTTCATTTTTTTCGAAATACAAAATGATTGAAAAATCTGCAGCAAAATCCCGCAAATGGTGTGAAAATATTTCGGCATATTGAAATTTCCACCCCCCCCCGCCCGTAAATTTGGAGATTATGACATTATAATAACAAACCGTTTGCAAAAGTTATTATTTCGACTTCATCAGCAATCCCGTCTTCCTTCGGCCATCTTCTACCATCGTTTTTTTCAGGCATGTCCGCCGACCCCGGCCCCTCCACCTCCGCAGTAACCAGTTCCACGAACAACTTCTCCGTCGCCAATCTCACCTCGACATCTCCAAAACTTCCTGTATTCGCCAATCTACCCCAATTCCCACCAATCGCCTTCCTCCAGCTCGTTTCGCAGTATATGGCACAGAATTCAGCAACTGCAGCTAGGAGGGCAGAATTGGAGGCCAGCCAAGAAGCCAGCAACTCGAGGAAGAGGAAACGGAAACCGATCTCGACCGCTGATTCGAGCCCGTCTTCTGAGAAATCGGTCAAATTGGGAAATTACGACGTCCCATGTGGGGAGCTTCCTACGACTTCTACCGTAATCTACGAAGAAAATAGGACTCCGGAGAGGAGCGCTGAGGAAAAGGTAATTTTAAATGTTCCGAAGCGGAACCTTCGGAATTTTTTTGGAAGAAAACTTGGCATTAAAGGGACTAGCAAGTCGCGGTTAGCGTTTTTATTGGCACTGGCTTGCCATGGATTTCTCAAAGGAACCGTTAGGCGACGGAGGTGAAACTCGCGCGTCGTGGCCGCGTGCTGGTCAATATCTATTTGGTCTCGGACTTGCAAGTCCCTTTAATTTAAAAATCGGCCGTTTGTAACGTGAATTTTGCGCGCAGCGTATAATTTTTAAGTTAAGAATTCCAGGATGAAGCCCAGAAACTTATCCAAAACGCGCTATCCGAGATGAAGAAGTCGAGAGCAAGGAGAGAATCGGTAGAAGACCAGGTTTGTAATTGTCTAAGGCTTAGCTTGCCCGACAGTAGATTTTTGGCTGGGCTATTTTTGGGTCGAAAAAGGTCTGGAGCCATTTAGAATTTCGATGATTAACGCCATTTTCTCATTAATTCAATGGATCGATGGAATCAAGCAAGCTGTATTGCAATATTTAAATCCATTTGTTTCTTTTTGTCCCAGCCATCACCCCAGTAAATTCCCCTGTTCCACCCTGATCGATTCATTCCCAGCCGTAAATCGCCGATTCGGGCGCCGGGATGGCCGTCCCGAAAACTGTTTGCCCGGCTTCTGGCTATATTGTTCCAACGTCGGAGCTTGATTTTTATCATTTTAACGTTTTCTTGCAATTTTTAAGCACCGTCAAAACAGCGGTAAAGCGGAAAAAGGAATTATTCTTCTAAAATATAATTAAATCTGGATTCCAGGGACGAATCTCGACGCCGCCTGGCGAGATGAATCCTGCCGATATTGAAACTATGGCAAAAATTAGGGGACATCCGATGTTTCCGGTTTTAAAGGTACGTTTTTCGCTTTAGACGATCTGGGTTTCTTACTTTCCAGGTTATTTGTATCAATTTAATTTTTTAGCTATTCACCGAAAAGGTCGAGTCCGCTACGTACGAGATGAAAAGCAGTGTTTCAAGCTAACTGATGTGGAAGCGGTAGGTATTTCTTAGTAAACTAACTGAAAAAATAACTTGGACAATGGGTTTTGTATAACGTGATAAGTAGTTACTCATTTTTGCAGCTCTTCGTGGAACTCGAATCTCAAGGAGCGAGCCCCAGGACTGATGATTTGGAGGTAAGGTCTAAATGAGCCTGCCTTACAGTATTCGCTACAGTTTAAGTTTACGCTATCGGATTATTTCTTTTAAGCTTTTTTTTTTTTTTTTTAGCACTCATTTTTAGTTAGACCGGCTCGTCTGGGACGCCATTTACGTGATGCGACTCCACCTAGCCGAGCTGGCTAGAGTGGCGAAGCTGGCTGAAGATTTTAGAGCGAATTTTTCAGGTAAGGCTTTGAAAACGGAATACTAAAAATGACATTTTCAATTTAGCCTCCTAAAGAAACGGGTGAATCACGAGACGCTGATCGGGGTGATAAATGAGAGTGACGAGGAGGCGTCAACGTCGGATGGGGAGTCGAACTCGGTAAGTACCGATCATCGCTCTCTTTCGCTCCCCCTCGCTCTCTCCCTTTCTCTCTATCTGCCTTTCTCTCTCTCGCTCTCTCGATCTATCTCGCTCTCTCGATCTCTCTCGCTCTCTCGTCCGCGCTGCCTCGCTGCGCTACATTTACCTATTGTAGCGATCCTCCCTACGCGACCATCCAGCGAACACCACCGTAGCCATGATGAATACTCCACATGGGACCCTGTCGATCCCTTTGACATTGCCGCCAATCAACCATCACCTAGCGGCAGACTCTTACGACTTGGGATCGCCGGCCGGAAAGGTAGGTATACTGTTACTCTTTGATCGTTTTTTATGGCAAAGTCCTGGAGGCCATGCCTTAGAAACCCTGATCTTTAAGCTATATCTGTTATATTGCACTTTTTCAGAGAACCCGGTTCGACTTCAACTCGATTGGCTCGCACTCGTCTTCAGGATTTATGGAACGGCTTGGGTCATCAAGGGACTTGTAAAAACATGTTATAAACTCTATGATTTTTGCCATGATTGTCCAGAGATTTTTTATATTTTTGAAGAACGCCCTGCTCAAAGCAAAAGTTCTTCCCTATTCCGGGTGAGTTTTACATAAATTTTTCCTCGAAAGGCTGATTTGGCAGGTTTTAGTACATTTGCCTTGAATTGTCCTTTAAAACCCATCTTTTAGCTTATATTAGATCGATATTTTCATCAAGCTTAGGCGTTTTGACTTGGGAAAATTATGCGCAATTTTTGAATGTTGATTGTTGTTTCTTTCCGCCTCTAGTGCATTTCCGTTTGTGATAATTAACACTTGACCAAAGTATAAATGAGATGTATATTGTCTACATTTAGAGATGAAAGGCCCAAATTTGCATGCAATCACATATTAAACATTTGAATCTCGATTTCCATATGTTTCCGGGGGTATAAAAGCAAACACTCCGCGCCGGAAAATCCATTCTACAAACCGACCCCCCCTGCCGCCAGGATGTCCGTCGGCCAGCCATTGGATGGTTGGTATTCTAATTTTATTTTTATGCTAATTAGCTCTGATTCTAATTAGATTTTGTCCAAATTTTCACCATTTTTAGCTGAAACGGCGGCGCTGGTCACCGAGCTGCGCCAGATGAAGGCCGAGCTGCTCGCGGATGGGAACCTGCTGAAGGAGTTGAAGTGGGAGCATTCGAGCTATGGATTATAACCTTCTTCGGTCCTTGAAAATGTGGATCTATCTTGAATTCTGAACTTTTTGTCAACGTTCTGACCTAATTGTCCTTTTCCAGTCGCCAAAACGAGGAGATGGACGCGCAGATCGAGGAGCTGACCCTGAGGTGTGTGTTCGGATCGACGACGCGTTCCACGGATTTCCAGACGATGCGAAACTTCCATTTTCCAGCGAGAGGAACCTCCGGTCCGATCTGGCCGAGCTGCAGGAGATCGAGCATCGCCACCAGGGCCAGCTGCCGATCGACACGCTGCGCAACCTGGACCACGTCCTGGTGAGGGCCTGGCTAGCTGAACGCGTTCGCGACGTGGAGTTGCACGCACACTGCGTCGCGTGTCTGCATTGTGGCGTTTCCCAAAAACCATCTCCTATACATCCCCATTCCCAGGAGTACGAGGCCGACTCCCAGGAGAAGGTGCGCCAGAATGCGGTGACGCTCCGGCTGATGGCCCACGAGCTCCTCCTGCGCACCATCATGAACGAGCGGGTGGCCGTCCGGGTACGAGTGCATCTGTAGACGGTCAACGCTTGTACTCCTTCAGGAGCTCGCCTCGCAGGAGGCACAGTTCGAGCGCGACTGCAACGATGCGATGAGGGCCCGGAAGCTGCTGGCGGATGAGGTGGAGCGGATGGCGCGGCAGTGCGAGGGCGGAATGCTGAAGAAGAGGGACCTCTACAACGTATTGTTGCCGCTGGGAGGACGGATTATGGATGCCTTAGGAGCTCGAGTCGATGCACCGTGAGCAGGAGGAGCTCGACGCCGAGATCCGGCTCATTGAAGCGGCCATCTTCCGCATGAAGCTGTCGGCGCAGCACATTGGCGCGCCTGTGAACATTGGATACAGTGGTGGGCCGAGTTCTAACTGCCTACCCTCCCCCCTCCCGAGCTTGCGAAAGCACCGCGCAAACCCCGATCCTTTAGGTGCCGTCGCCTCGGTCAGCGCCCCGGCCTTCTCCATGTCGGCGGCCTGGGACTCGGAGGAGCTGATCATCGACCCGCTGGGCGGCCGCGACGCGCCCCGTTGCTGAGCCCCTCCATCCGCTCGATGCTGGACGCCGCGCCCAGGCAGCCACGCGGCCGTACTGTCAGCCCTGGGCGCATCGCCCGCGCCGCCACCAGCCCGGTTGGACATCAGGGCGCTCAGGGCGGTCAGCGGGCCCGTTCGCCCGGCTGCCGTCCGGTCGCGTCACGTGACGCGATGCAGAGTCTCCTTGGCACCCTGCAGCAGCAGGAAGTGGCCTCGACGTCGCGCGGCCGTGCCGTCAGCCCGGTCCAGATTCGCGGCCCCGCCAGCCCGCTCGGTCAGCAAGGCGTTCAGGTAATGTTTGAGCAGTTTACGATTCTGGTCCATTAACGGGGGGAAGGCATATGAAATCCTATGCTTCAGCGGCAGCCGGCGGTCCGTCCCGGAAATGACGCGATGCAGAGCCTCCTCCGCACCCTCCAGCAGCAGCAACAGCCCGCCGGCACTGCAGCTCCCCGCGCCATTAGCCCGGTCGGCCAGGTCCCGTCGGCTACTTGCCAGGCCGGCACCTCAACCCGCCGCCCAGCCGGAAGCCCGTCCCGTCGCATCGCTAGCCCCTCGCGCGACGCCATGCAGAACCTCATCGCCCTGCTGCAGCCGATCCAGAACCTGCAGCACGAGCCGGAAGCCGGAGGGCAGAAGCCAGAACCGGGCCCGAACCCCGGCCAGCGCGCCACTGGCTCTGGTGCCCCGCTCGAGCGCTGGATCATTGAGGTAGGAGGCGTTGGGTACTAGCTGTGCAATCATTTTTGGTGCTGGTTAGTTAGCGGGGACCAAACTTTTATTTTCTTTTCCAGAAAAAGACCTCGTCCGTCGCGCTGAAGTGCCCTTCCGAAGTGCAGCGCCAGACGTCGGTGACGGCCCTCGACGTCTCGCCGCGCGAGCAGCCGCCCGCGACGCCGCAGGGCGCCGCGCTGCGCCAGCCGGTCACCCCCCAGGGCTCCTCGTTGGCCCCGGCGCGCTCGCCGCAGACGACCACGCAGCGCTCGTTGTACACCAGCATTTCGTCGCCGCAGCTCAGCGTGAGAATTTGGGCCTGGCCTCTCACTCCCACTCTCTCGCTCTCACTCTCTCTCACTCTGACTCATTTCCTCTAAATTGTCTCGCTTCCAGGCGCGCACCGGCAGCTCGACGACCACGGTGGAGAATGTGCTGTCGACCACCACCGTCACGACGACCACCACCAGCCTGCTCGGCGACGGCGGCAAGCAGAGCGCTTTTGAGAAGGTTGTGCCGCACTTCTCCACCCTCAAACCATCCTTTTCCAGTGGTTCGGCACGCTGAGCGTCGACCAGCGCCGCGCCTTCTACCGCGCCATGGACCCACCGAAGAAGCGCTGAACCCCTCGACGCGCACGCCCCAATTACACACTCACATTAAAGAAACGAATGTCTAGTATTGTTTGTTTGTATCAATTCCGAATGTCGAATCGCTATTACTGGTGCTGTGATCTCGTGTGATTATTAATAAATGGTTCTGGGATGGAGCTTTAACGCGAAAAACATTTTTTTTCTGTCAAGTAGCACGAAAGTTCTGTCGCGGAGCCTTTGGAAAGCTGCCTAAAACCGTATATGGCTCCATTCTGCACATGCGACATGTGATTTTGTAGCTCTCGACCTGAACCGTTTCGGGAGGAGGGTCCCGGACGGCCAAAATCAAGAAGTACCGAGAAACAGACTCGAGAAGTTGTTCACTTTTCTTTGGGGTACAACGGCTATCATCAACTATGATAATTTTGCTGTGGTCTCCGTCCGACTGAAGCCGAATCCAACTCGTAGGGAAAAGGAGCTCGAGCTTAGGTCTCCGGATTCGGATAGAGCGCGGGCAGAAACTCCCAAACTGGTAAAGAGCAGAATCGTAGATCTTCATTTTCATATTTAAAAATCGTTATTTGTGGTTTGGTAGTAAAAACGGCTCGTTGCGCGATTTTGTGCATAGTGAGCCAGGCCGCGCGCGTTTCGACGGAGAGGCCAGGGGCGGGGGGCGCAAGGGGTAGCCCGAAGTCCAGCCGCTTGATATTTGTATAATTTTTTAGGAGCTTTTATAGCTGAAAACCCGTTAAATTGCTACAAAAATCGCCTATTGTTCGTTATAGGGTCATGAATTTTTTTTGGTCTGGGAAGCTTTGCATCAACCGGAATTTTTCGTTTAGCATAGCTATTGGCCTGATTGGTTGCACCGGTGACATTTTTTGAGTTCTTCATATGCGTTTCACCATCAAATCTTTTTTTTTGGGTTTTAGCTGACCTTTCCAAGCGATGTTAGCTCGGGTAACTAATGTCCAAATTGTCCCCCCCCCAGGTTGTTGGGCCTTTAAAGATTTGGTACCCAGAGTTCAGTTTACCCCACTTCCCCAGCCCGGCGCAACTTTTTGCATCTCGGCTCCTGGTATTCATCTACAGGTGTGTAAAGTATACCAAAAGTTTCTCCTTTGCTCGCATTCATTATACTTTACACACCTGTAGATCAGAACAGAACCAGCGCTGCTCTGATGGATGGGAGGAGGGAGCAAACTAGGCTCAATAAAGTGCATGCAAGTTTTGCGCGAGTAATTTTTGGCCGTTTGACAATCGTTTTCATCGATTTTCATCTTTGGAACGCACACACGCACGCCAAACCATATCGTTTTCGCAGCTCTTCAATCTTCATTAACTGTTCAATTTATAGATAAAGAAGCAAAACCCGTCTGGGCCCCGTTGCAACCGCAGAAGGTAGGGGATATTGAGTGTCGCTTCCTCTCTTCTCTTTCTTTCACTTTCCCTTTCTCAGCACACTGTGAATTGCGTATGTTTAGATGCGAACGCCTGCGCCGCTTGAGCCAAAGAAATTGGAGTGTACCTGGAGGCCTGTTTCTCTCCCTACCTGGCTTCCACCCCGCAGACAGTAGGGACACTTACACCTGATCATTGAAATTTTCTACTTTTCAGAGCACGTCGTCTGCCTCCGATAGTCCTGAAACGACTTTCTCCTCTTCGCGCTCATGTATCTGTGAAACGACGGCTGAATACGAACTGTAGGATCTAACTGTTTTGGTTTGATCCTCTCTCTTCTCTCTCGCTCTCCTCCCCTCTCCCCTCCCCCCTCTCTCTGCTTACTGTGGTGCGTATGATGTTTAGATAATGCGGACGATCGCGGCGCTTGGGCGAAGAAATTGAAGTCCTTCCTGGAGGGCCTGTTCTCCTACTTAGGCTTCCCACCCAGACAGTGGGTTGCCTTGCGCTACGGCTCAGTGAAAATTCCGCACTCGCGGACGACAACGTCTTCTCTTTCGGTGGATTCGAGCGCGCTGCGCTGTGCCGGTGGCCGCGACGAATCGACCGCCCCGATAATGGATTCAACAGGGTGAATCTATTTGAGTTATGGCTGTCGTTTTATTATTAAGATGGAATGTTTAATTTCTTGTTTAAGCAATTACTGAATGCTGCTTACAGAGGCACACGTGAGGCGGACGCTGTGCGTGGCGGCTTGGCTGGAGAGCCGCTCGAATTGGTGGGTTTTCCCATGAAGAAAATTTTGCTTGGTTTGGAATTGAAAATTTGGTTTGAAACCGCTGGGATTTGGAATAACATAAAATTACCGCCTTTTTTCGCACCGAATCCCAGCGGCGACCGTTTAATGCCGATGCCAAGATTCAGTTTTATTTATTGCTGCGGTTTTAGCATGGCCAAACAGCTATTTTATTACTTTTTCGCAGTGATATTTATTACGATTATTTATTACGATTATTAAGATACAGAGTTTCTATTAATCATGGGTTTTCCCTATTGCTGCGGTATTTAGCATGGCCCCATTGGCAATTTGCCGCATGGAGAGCAAGCTGAATTTTTCCAGGGGTTTTTTAGTGGTGGTAACCAGCTCATCCTAACTGCAAATTTTGTTAATATAACTAGAGCAGCACTTGATACTTACTATACCTGAACACAAATACCATGAATTTCAGCGAAAATTAAACATTTGGAAACCTCTCGCTCCCTCCCTCCCTCTCCCTCTCCCTCTGTGAATTGGATATGTTTAGGCCATGCGGACGACTGCGACGCTTGGGTCAAGACTGTGAAGTCCATCCTGGAGCGCGTTTTCTGCTACTTTGGTATCATCCGGCACACAGTAGGTTACTTGCTGACCTAACTCGGTAAAATGCCACTTTGCAGCGCACGTCGTCTGCCTTCGGTAGTCTTGAAACTACTTGCTCCTCGTCGCGCTCATCTAGCGCTGGACCCACGGCCAATAACAGCTTCAGGCTGCTAACTGGCGGAACTCACTGTTTTTGTTTTATCCTCCATCTCCCTCTCTCTTTCTCTCTCTCTCCCTCTCTCTCACCTTTACCTTTCCAACGTTTCCAACTACATGTTCAGCAGCCCGTGCTGTCCTCGAGTCCTGTCCGAAGAAGCAGAAAATGGATCACATTTCGATTTTGATTATGTGTAATAAAGTGTTTTTTATGGAATCTTGATTTGATTGGCACTTTGAACAGCACAAGGAAGATATTGGGCCAGGAGAGAGACGGAGAGGGAGAGGGGGGGGTGAGAGAAAGTGAATGAGCGAGAGTCAGGGAGAGAGAAAGAGAGAGAGGGAAAGTGAGTGAGAGACCCGGCTTAGATCTTAAAGAAAGTTTCAGATACATTCAAAAACACTAACTGAATCGAGAGTGCAATACACGCCAAATTGATAGTGCGAAGAGTCTTAATCTGATAATGACCTACATGTGGAGCTCCGTCTCTGAAGGCGCGTGCAAAAGCTGAGTCTAAGCCTGAGGACCTATTTAAAGTCGGGAGCTCCAACGATCTGCAAGACAGAATGTGTGCGTTAGCGGGGCTAATAACAAAACCGGGTGAGGGTGGTCTCCATACGGAAAAGGCGGATCCAGCGAGTTCCTGCTCCAGACTCGAGCGCCTTCGTAGCTTCCGGTACCGTTGAAGGTCGCGTACCAACCCCTTGCCGCGCTGAAAAAAACCACGGCTTTGACCCTGTTCTTTCTATTTTTTTGTACAGCCCGGAAATCGTCGAGTCGTTTTTCCAATTGTCCGCTTGGCTACCCTGTACGGTTTGCGAACGGTATTTCGCTACTAGGGTGTTTATATTCCGCCCAATATTGCTATTCGCGGCTGTATCATGAGGTTTCATATTGCTATCGTGCTGTATTTGCTAAAAAATTCTATTGGTGCGGACGCGCAACGATTACAGTAAGTCGCTAACAATTTTTGTTTTGCCTGCCTTGCAATTGGTATCATTTTGTTTTTTATGTGTTTTACAAATTTTTTAGCTATGTTTGCGATTCTCTTCGAGATCTCGTCCAAAATGAGTGCCCAACAATGTTCAAATTCCCGAAAGAATTCCCGAAGGCAAAGGGGCAATGGGGAGTTACGGAAAGCGGGTTGGTGTTCAAATTTTAGGTCTTAGTTTTTCACGTTCAAATCGAATTGTTTTCCCTTTAGAAAATACCTAATCGCTCGCGGGCAATTTTTTGAATCCGGGACTGGACTTGGCAATCGATTATTTGGGGCGTTGTCCTCGATGGGGATCGCCTGGAAAATGCATAGGTATAGACAAAATGTTTCAAATTACGATGCCAATTAGACAACCAATCTTCGCGATCCGAAACGAGCACTGTAACGTAGAATGTAAAAAGGCAATGTGGGAGCTTACGACGCTATTCCCTGGGATAATTCCGGATCGTGCGCTTGACGACTCGAATAAGTATTTGGTAGGTTTGTACCTTAGAGTTCTACAGTCCTTAAAAATGCGCACTAATGACCAGGGTAAAAAAAAAGAAAAATTCCTGTTTCTGAGGCTTAGAATTTACGTTAACCATATCCATCCAGGTAAGCTAGCAGAGATCCTTAAGGAAGCTCATCGATACCTTTCAGAAATCCGAAAACCCAGAGATCCGCATCTCGCAATGCTGCCTTTATGACGATCCTTTGCCCAAAACCAATCTGATCCTCGATATGAAACCGGCCGTGTGGTTTTACGGAGATTTCTTACAGGTATGCAGGCTACAGACTATAGTCTAGATCCCCTTGATCTAGAGCTACAAATATTTCTACGGACTGCGAAAAATGTATGAGCCAATCTTGAAAGCAGGTGAGCGCGCCATTTTTCCGTTCTGATGGCGAATTTAGGCATAAAAACCTTTGGAAAAATTTCCTCGGCGATGGCACCAATTGATACTTTGCACGGGGATAAGACAAGGTTAGAAGTCTAGCACGGCGCTTATAAAAGAGTCTAGAATCTGCCTGCATACAAGGAGAGCCGGCTTTGTCGGAGATTTCCATCAAGCGACGACCGAAACCTTTATCACTGGAGTCTTGAAGCATTTCGCAAATGATAGTAGTAATTTTTAAGGGCGATTTATAAGTTGGTTCAACATCATTTTTATATGAACTTTGAAAAGTTATGCGCAAAGATTTTTATACCCCGTTATCATCAGTTTTTTCCTAGATTCTAGAAAACAAAGACAATATAAGGATTTAGCCCAATTCTTCCTCTTTGGCGACGACATGGCATGGCTGAAGAATATGGAGCCAAGGCTGAAGCAGCACGCGACGCATCTCTACGTCCTCGACGCGGCTGGAACGCCGCCTGTGGCTGCCTGGCATTTTGCCAGCAAGTACTGCGATAAAGTGGTGATTACAGGTAAATTTTGGATAGGTAAACTTAAAGACTGCTAGAACTCTTGAACGCACACTGTCACCCCGAGGGTGTGCCCCCCAAGAACGCACAGAGAGAGGCGTCATTAGTGGCGCCCCGTACTGGGCAAAGGCCTTCTGGGGTTTGGGGCGCCTCTGATTCCCTTCTCCACTCGGACCTGTGGTAATAGTGGTTAGCGCGTCGGACTGCGGAGCGGACCGTCCCGGGCTCGACCCCCGCCCGGTGCGCAACTTCTTGCTTTTAACGAAATTTTGATCGTTCTGACGGTCTTTAACGCAAACTGATGGGGCCGAATAGCTTGGACTACAGGGTGGCGATTAAGTATTTGCGCCTGTTTCAAGCACGTTTTTAGGAGCTAAATCGTAGTCGGTAGAAAAAAACAAATAAGTCCATTTTGTAGAAAATTTTTGCTTTATCAGATGCAAGGTGAAAACAGGAAACCGCTTCACCACACAATTTTAATTTGATAAACACGTAAAACGGCGTTTTTTTGTATGGATTTTCTTACATTTTGAGGAGCTCAGAAATTTTTTTGAAGAAGCTGGATATATTTCTCGATGTTTGATCGTGGAAAAAGCTATCTGAACTTGCTAGAAAAAATGGGTATGGGTAACAGGGAGTCCTGAGTAGGGCACGGAAACGAAAGTAAATTTGGCAAAAGCTCGAGGGCCGCGCACCCTGTCTCAGAGCGACTTATCGCAGAAGAATGCATTCTAAAAAACCAGCCGCTTACAGCGGCTTTGCCGCTGCAAGCGGCTGGACTTCGGGCTACCCCTTCCACTCCCTTTGTGATGGCCTTAGATACTTTAAAGGATTTAAATAATGAATTAAGATAATTAAAAGTATTAAAACAACTGAAAAAAGCGATCTGGGCGCGGGAAGGGCCTTGGGGAAGAGGGGCGAAGAGAAAGGGGGCGTGGCCTCCCGGGGAGAGGGCCCCCACTCGTTTTATTAAGGCGCCACTTTCAAAGTTAATTATTGTTATTTAAACAAAAACTTTTTCATAATTTTTTGATCATTTAAGGGGTTTCTGACTACGCTCTATCCAAATCCGAAGAGACCTAAGCTCTACCCCCTTTCCCCTTCGAGTTATAGTTGGCTTCTGACGGACGGACAGACGGACAGACACCACTACTGAATTCTTATAGTTGATCGCACCTTTGAGGTATCTTTTTCGTTTTGCTATCAAAATGTAGGTAATTCTTCCGCCTCTTTACTAGCCACTTTAGCTAGAGCGAGAAAAGCTAAATTCTCCGGCCCATGATTTTTTTAAGAGTGGAGCAAACGGGTCACATAACCATGCATTTCATTCCATCGTTTTGTGCAAACATTTTGAGCTTTTTGAACGCCCTGTAGCTTTTCCGGACCGTTTGGATCGCTTAACCAAGTCCCCATCATGGAAAACATCTTCGACAAGTGATTGTAGAAATTTGAGACATTTTGTGTTTTTCGTGAAAAAGCCTCCCGCGCGCCTCAATTTTGGTGGTCGAGAAAGTTATACAAATAAATAGGATCCGATTAGAAATAATTTTTCTGGCTACTACGTTCGCTCAAGGGCAATGCAAAAAATATAAAGACCACTTGTTATTTTGGCCAACGGAGATACTTAGGCAGAAAAGCTTAAACAAAGGGACGAGATACGCGCGGCCCTCGCTGATGTTTGGGCGCTTCTCTCAAAGGTCATATCTTGAAAATTTAAGAATTCAGGGCCGTAGATTTTCTTGGTATCGCAATTAGGTTATATTAGCTACATTATGGTCGTAAAATAATTTCCGAGACATGCTTCGGTCATTTTTTACGCTGCCTTTCCTGGCGCAAATACTTAAAGACCGTTGGAAAGATGGCCGGGCGTCCCCAGGGGTGAGGGACCGACGGGGCGATACCATGCACGCTTTCCATCGCGTAAGGGCCCCCAAAGCCCCCGACTGGGTTTCAAGAAAACAGATTTATAGCTATAACTTTTTTGATTGACGATATTCTGGGCCAGAAACTTCCATAGAAATAGTTTTTAGCCATCGCCATCGTTGGTAAAAATTTGAGGCTGATTGGATAGAAGACAGCCATGTTCTGAGCGGAAAGAGGTTTTTGGGACGCTCTTTAGTTGAAAAATCGTCAGTAAAGGCATAAAACACATCAGGAAATCTATGGGAGTACTTTGCTTTCCTTTAGCAAGCTTTTCTATAGCATTTTTCGTTATTATTATTTATGAATAGCCTTATTTTCAATTGTTGCCCAGTAAAGCGCACCAATGCGCCCCTAGGGTATTTGGGGCCCCTCGGCCGCCCCTACCGACTCGGCCCCTTTGGTGTGGGGGTAGCGCGTTGGACTGCGGAGAGGACCATCCCTGGTTCGACCCCCGTCCGGGGCATTCCTTCTTGCTTTTTGACCAATCCCATCTTTCCAGAGGCCTTTAATCGCCACCCTGTATATCCCGGTTAGGGAGTGCACCGCGGCTCGTTACGCAACGCGCGAGGATCGGAATCGATTCCGCAACGAAACTGAGTTCATGGTCCCTTGCTGCCCAAAATTCATCTCGAAGTTGTCAATATGAAAATTATCCTCTTGCCCTGCCTTTTCCTGTACCTTTTCTATAGCAAACTACTGAAATTTAACCCTAGTCTATTCCAGCTGGTTCCTCGACGTTCGGCTGGTGGGCTGGATACTTTGCCCAAATGCATCGTTCTCACGTGGAGGTAAAAAACCTTCATCCTCCTTCATTAAAGCTTTCCAGGTCTATTACAACAAAAAATTCGCCAAATCGCCGGACTACCTGCGACAGCAAAAAGACGAAGATTACTACCTACCCAACTGGAAGCCGCTTGATTTGCCAAATGGCGATGATTGATTTTAGTGTTTTCCATGTTTTAGATGTATTATTTATGCCAAAAACATCCATAAAGCATAGAAGATTGCTTGTAAAAAAAGCAAAAAAAACTCGGTAATTATGAGAGTGAATATAAGCTTCTTCGAGAGCACTAAATTAAGCATTAGGCGGCAAGTTCAAGCAATGGGAATTCCGAATTTCAAACAATTCTAAATGCACATTAATAAATTTCGTCAGGTGGAGATCAACAGAAGGAATTGAGCGGGATCTGGGATAGGGTGGCGAACTCCGAAAATTTTGAGATTTTCGAATGAATTTCGAAATCTCTAATGCAGCATGCCGACCGGTTCAACCTTGGACTTGTTGAAGTGGTGCTTTTGCTGGTGTTTCCGGTATTTCTTGGTCGACTTGATCATGTCGTGCTCAATCATGGAGTAGATCATGTCGATCACCGATTGCCGCACATCCATGTAGGAGATGTTGAGCAGTTGTTTCGACTGAAATGGAGTGATTAAAGGGGCTGGGAAGGCGACTTTTTCTAGCTCTCTCACTCTTTCTCTCTCTCTCTCTCTCACTCCCGCTCTTGCTCTCGCTCTCACTCTCGCACTCTCTCACCTTCGTGTTGTCAAATCTCAATTCCGGCCCAACCCTGGGTAGCACGGCCTCAACAATCGGGTCAATTCCAAGCTTGGCGTACAGCTTCAACACCCAGTTTGGAGCAGTGATGAAGGTGATCGGATAACCTAAAAATTAACATTAAAAGGAGCTATTGTATTCTAACCTTGCTTTCTGAACTCTTTGAACAGCCACTTGGCAATGTCAGCGAACCAGCCGGAGTCGGCGTGCACCAGGATTCGCTCACCGTTAGAAGCCTGAAACGATATCGAGTTTCAAACTTTGCTTTGCTTCCCGCTGTCTCTTTCTCGCCCTCGCTCTCTATCTCTCTCTATTTCTCTCTACCATACCTCATTAGTCATTGCCAATATGTGGGCCTTGGCGACGTCACGAACATCCACCAATCCCAGGCAAGCTTTGGGAGAAGCCAAGTAAGTCTTGACGTTCATCATACGACCGATGATCTGAAGATATTGGTTAGGAACATATGCCCCTTGATATAATGTTGACAAATGTTTTTGATGCTATATGAAACGCAAACACTATATTAAACGCAAAGACTTACCGTACAGCTTCCATTCTCCACATCTGAAAGTACAGGTCCGGTGATGAAGGTGGGGTTGAGGACGGTCAGCTCGAAGCGATTGTTGTTTTCCTGAAAAAAACTTTAAAGACAGTGAGAGAGAGAGACAGCGGGAGTTAGAGACAAAAAGGGTAAGAAAAACAGACAAACGTACCATCCAGATTCTGCCAGAATTCCCAGGCTGCCCGTTCCGCCAAGGTCTTCGATTTTGCATAATACTCGACCTTCGGGTGCTCCAGATTTGTCCAGTATGTCTCGTCGAAAACGGCTTCATCATTTTCGTGGCCATCTGAAAATTGTCTGTAACCCAAACATCTTTAGTATTATTTCGCAAATTTTGAAGCTACTTTTGCGCGTTTTCAGATAATCTTTAATTTTCACGATCAGCAAAACATTAGCCACCTTCATCTCCTAATCTCCCAAAAAATCAGTTTACTTTTCCAATTCCCTCACCCCGCTTTTTCAACTTCCCTCAATTTTCAGGGAAATTTTTGGGGGGCAGGCGCAGCAAAAATTCGACTGCGCGATTGCACTTGGATCGAAAATAGCATCCCCGCGGAGCGTCTTTTCCAATCAACCTCGGCACAGATACACACACCGCGACACACGAAAATACCCGAAGGATTTTGTGTACATGCTGCTGGGGATTGACGGGTTTTCCGGTCTGTGCCCGGGTGCTGCAAACAACACCATAAACTCGTTGCGGGGACGGGTTTTGTAGGTGATTGTACTATATGGCTGGTCAAAACACCGTCATGAGTCTGGGCGAGATACATGCCAATGTCAAGGTAAAATATAGGAATTTAAAAGCCGTAAAAAACCTCAAAATTAGCATTATCGAAGCATGGAAAAAGAAATCATAGTATGAATCCGGTAATGCGTCCTAACGCATGTTTTTTAATTAGTAAGATGACGGGAAAAGCGAAACTTTACCTTAAGGGGAAAATACCTTGGCTAATAATAATATTTGGCGTTTTCGGAGTTTTCGACAATGCAAAAAACAAGCTTTTTTGCGTCTCCATTGCTGGATGGTAAGTCCGTCTATCATTAAAAAACCTTTCTAGAGAACTGCGGTAATTTTACCTTTACTACCCTGTTCATGATGCCCAAAATGCCCAATGCCCCTTATTTGAAGCTCTTAGAAAAATTCGTAAAGCGTCTCAGTCCCTTTAAAACGTTAAATTCCTTGCCGATGACAATTCAACATTACAGACAACAATTTTGACACGGTTGGCCGGCTCTTTTCGCGTTATCTACTTTCCTTTCTCGCTCTCTCTTTCTCGCGCACTCTCTCTTCCCCCAAAATTTGAATACCTACCATTGACAGCCGAGCAGCTGCTGGTCAGAACAACTTTTTTGACACTGGGACACCGGGCTGAGGATCGGAGTACGCATAGGGTGCCATCGACGGCAGTTTTGACTGTAGATTCATCAGCTACAATTGGCCATGGCGAGGCTACGTGAAGTACGTACGTACAGCCGGAGACAATTCTGGAATTAACGGTGTAAATAGGCAAATGACGAGATCGCTTTATATATCTCTTTCTCTCTCCCGCTCTCGCTCTTTCTCTCTCTCGCTTTCTCTCGTTCGCTGTCTTTCTCGCCTTCTCCCTAACTCTTTCTCGTACTTACTCGTCCCAACCATCTGGCTTCAACAAATCGGCCTCGACGAGTTCAAGGCGTTCGCTAGCGTGTGGCAATCGGAGTAGAGGCGCTACCTAGAGTCGGCTCGGCTTACAATGTCGAATTTAGAGCATAGAAGCTATTTTCCGTAAAATCCATACCTTCTGCTCATTCCTCTTGCTCCTCACCGTCCCTCGGACTTTATATCCAGCAGCTAATAGCTGATTTACACAATGCAAGGCGACGTAGCCCGAGGCTCCGGTGACGAGGACGACTGAAAATTCAAACTTAAGTATGATTACAGCGCGACTATTTAAGACCAGCCAAATATACCCACCAGTTTCAGCAGGGCTTGCCGGTACAGTTGTTGGAGGCATTTTTTGCTGTATTGCGAAGCTAAAAAATCGGTTGGAAAGTGGAGAACACCTTGTAAAAAACGCAGGAAACGCTGAAGCAAGGAGGCCTGTTCAGTTCGTGCCAGGACCAGGGCAAACAAACAGCCTTCGAGGAACGGGGTCAGATATAATTGGAAATCTATAGGCAAGGCGGGGAAAACCGCACATAGCGAACCGGAAATAGAAAAATGAGGTTTTCCACGACTTTGGAACTCTAAAATGAGGAGAATAAGAAACATCAAGTCACAGTATTCTGCTAGGTGCAGAGCCTGGGCCTGGAAATGATATCCTATCCCGGGCTGGATCTGGAAAATGGAGGTAGAGATATGTGAGTTACACAAAAGCTTGATAAATTTTACGAATTACACCTTTTAGCGGCACTCCGTATCATTAAAGAGGCTGGAGGTGAGCGAAAAAAGTACCTAAAAAATAGTAGATTACACTAATTATCAAAATTGGAGACAGTCCCGTTTGGATGCTTGAATAAAAAAAATTTAAAAATGCTGCATTTAACCTTAATACGAAAAAATGGGTTTAGATGGCACTGAAAATATAAAAATCATGATATGCCTGAACCGGGAAAATGGCATATGCCAGGGTTCAAATATGCACTCGAGTGTCCGTTCCCCGCCCATCCCAGGATGGTCATTTTTTGGCAGCTCCGCCGCCCTGTCTCGTCCTCCTCTTGAAGTTTCCAATTGCGTAGAGAGAGAGAGAGAGGAGAGAGAGAACCGAAGAATATGTAGATGCCGGGGGTTGAGGACTGTCTTCTCAAGTGGCTCTCCATTCGCCCACATGATCTGGGTGCACCTGGGTCCAGAAATGCTTGGCGAAGAGGTTAGACAGAATAAAGTATAGCATGGTTCCGGATCAGTAGCTAGTTCTATACAACAAATTTCTTAAAAAAGGGCGAAGATTCGAAAAACACTATTTTATATTGACGTAGAAAAGTGGGAATTCCTGGGTAAAACGCTCACCGAAAAAAGAAGTCACCAGGACACAGAGCCTACGAGATTCTTAGAAAATTTCAAACGCAAAACCGTGTTTAAAAATCGTTTAATGACTTTTGATAATGTAATGAAGCGGAAAAACTTAACCGTTTAAACATTCAATCGTGGCAAAAAACTTTTCAGCGAGGCAGTGTAGTGCGTTCAGCATCGTCAGCGCTGACTCACTCGTCAATACCTTCCATGGCAAATACGACAATTTCCGGTTCAGGTATTTTATACAAATAAAAAGAACACGGAATCGCTGTTTTGAATACGGAAAAAAATGCGCAGAAAAATTTAGAAGGATTCAGAATTCATCAGGCGTCAAGAAGTTTGAATTTATAGCATTATTGGACTGCCGGAAAAACTTCTAGGCCTTTTCAATTCGTCTCAAAACAGATACAAATTGTGTTCATAATTCACAACGTAAAACGAGCAAGAAGTAGTGACTAAAACTCCTTCTTTCCTATGGCTACACGCAATTTACCCGGTAAGAACTTAGCGTTTCCCGAAATTTCCAAAATTGTTTAGATGACGCGAGAGGGGCCATGGTATCATGCCCCAAAAAGTGACAATATTTTGCGGGGTAACCAATCCAATTGGGGGGCTGCGTGAGGTGATGCGGCGGGTTGATGGTGTCATAATAAACCTAATCCACCCCAAACATCCCCCCTGCATCGCATGCCCCGCCCCAAAAACTGTCTCGCGCAACGAAACCGGGTGCGCGAATCGAGCTGTATGGCGCCGTGCGGGACTACGGGAGGCTGAAAAATACGATCCGGTCAATGATGAACAATTTCCAACTTTCGCTGAAGCTCCGAATTATGTCTTCGCTAAGGTTGTGATCTGTGTCCGGTAGAGACGCTCCCAACTTTCTTCCGTGCAACTAATGGTTTGCACATCGAGCTGGATGGCGCCGTTCGAGGACGTAAGGCTCCAAGATACGCTCCGGTAATTCGTGGAACAAGCTCGAACTTTCGCTGAAGCTCCGAATTATGTCTTGGCTAGGGTTGTGTTTTCTGTGGCGCATGGAAGAAAACACAGTAAGCTCAAGGAAAATCTTTCAAGGATGGAAAAGTGGCTAGAGATTATGGGGCTATGGACCGGATGTAATTTTTTGCTTGATTCTGCACTTATGTCACCGTATCCAATTTGAGTCCAAACTGGAAGGCGTTTTCCGTACGTAAAATTGCCACTTCTGGATTACTAGGGAAAAGCGAAGTTCCACTTCTCGATTAAAATTGCTCAATTTAAATTCGCCGGCCTTGAAAATGTCGGTTCCAAAATCGGCAGGCTGTTTGCTGGTTTTACCGACTGCTGAGGCTTGAGAAAAAAACTAATTTGCATAGCTTGAAGAACAAAACTTCTTATTCTTGTCAATTTCTGTGGTTGACCTCGACCTACGACTTGAAGCGCGGGACATGTTGCGGGCATGGCCGAATCCAAACGGGATCCATGCCCGTAAATTCATTGGCAAATGCTTAGACGAAATGGCAAAAGCGACGTATCGACAGTTTGCTTAACCAAAGGAAACGCGAGGAAAAAACTGAACTTGTGTCGTTATTGAGCTCGTGGTTGTCGAAGAAAATCTCAAAGATATCATTTTAGGGGCTTTTGGAGTTTTGCCGTGTCACCTAACTGATTAGATCGGCCTTCAAATTCTGAACGGTGCCGCTATTTCAGGCACTGCTAAAAAATGTGGGTCTTGCTGAGAATCCTCTCTGAACGGGTCGATTTTGCCCATTTTTTGTACTTGGTTAGAATTTTATGCTTTTTAAGCCATGCCACAACGCAAAACCTCAACAACTTTGAAATGTTGCCAAAAACGACCTGCTAGCAGTCCCTTAGTCTGGATTTTGCGCCCTGCTGGATCCAACCATGCAGTACTTTTCACAAAATGTAACTGCACCCATGCACTGACCCGAACTTGTTGTCCAAACTGAAATGTGCGCCCCGGAAAACGGATGCGCGCCGGGCCCGGAAATTTATCCGTTATGCTCATGCGTCTGGATCTCTGAGCGCGGGAGCTCGGGCTAGATACGACCTAATTTGATACAGCACGATCAACTTTTACAGGGATAAATCCTCAGGAAAAGCCCGACACCCAGTCAGTGATGAAAATGGCGCGATAGGAGGCCGGTGCAAACCTGTGGATAAATAGCTTTTGGCCGGGCGTTGCTGCCGGCCAAGGCCAAATGTTGGGCGGGAATCGGAAGTGCTGGCTGCGGGTTGGCAGGATAATTTATGTCATTTGGTAGGTGGGCGTGGAGTACCTTGTGTTCGGTTTCGAAAGATGAGGAAGGTGCAGACCTGGAAAAACAATAAAAGGTGTAATTACTGTATTCAACAAGCAGAAGTCGGGCCGCAAACTTCGAGTCATGATGGATTTTGTCTTCAAGGCCACGACCTGGATTTCGTTTATGGTTCCTCTATGAATTCTGCCGGCGCGTGATCCGCAACGCGCGCAGATGGCCCATACCTAATGTATTCCGGGTCCTTCCTATGGCCTGCAGTGGGACTTCCGAAGGATCACGAAGTTTTTGGTATTTTCACTTATTTTGTCGCGATTTTTGCAACGCCATTCGATAGAGCGTCAAAAAGTATACTAAGCGTTGTAATCTGAGCCTACAATAATGGAAAGTAAAAAAAGTTATAGCCAAAATCTTCCGGCTGGGCGAGGCAAAGTAAAGCGTAGCCATTTTCGAATTTTTAAAAATTTTTTTAAGTTATTTTAGAACTGTCTAGCAAACAAAAACACTATAAAATTTATAATATATCATCAACAGGTAGTTACAGGTGAAAAGGCAAAAATTGGCCCCCCGCTAACAGTCCAGAACCGCAGTTCCTCGAAGCGCGAACTGTCATTTACCCTGCGCTCAATTAGCCCCTCGCGGGGTGGCAACGTCTTGTACATCTCGGAGTTGATCCATTCGTTGACGACCACCTCGCAGCGGTGCTTCGTCGTGGCACGCTAAAATAGGCGGAGCTTCGGGGTTCGCGGGGAAGGGAACTATTTTTCCGCAGATTTGGTGTAATATTAGTGCGTGTTTTGCACCGTTTCTAGCTAATAATTCGGATCCTCAGAAACATACATCCTGCGGAATCGATTGTCCATCCTCGCCCAGCTCCGGTTCGCAAATCTTCGCGAGTTTTTCTCGAGCCGTGTCCACGGCGTCGTTGTAAGCCCAAAAGTCGCGGAAGGTAAGATATCTGGAAGGGTAGCTTGGCAAGAAAGCCTGATTTGACGCATTTAAAAAAAATTAGGTTCTTTCTCATTATCGGGGGGAGACAACCTTTTACTAGGAAACGGATTTTTCGACGATCAATAGCGGTATAGGATTTTTCAAATATCAAAAGCATTTCTACAAGCTTTTTACTATTCCTAAGCGTAAAAACTATAACTGTCAAAACCTTTTCCCCGAAAAATTCAAAGAATTTGACGAAGGTCCTTTGAGAAGCGCTTACCTGCGAGACGTGTAGCTGCAGGTGAAGAGCATGAGGTTGTCCTCTCGGATAGTGACGATAAGGCCCTCGTTGCTCTGCAACACAAAGTGGCGTGAGGTCGCTCGAGAATCGGCCTACCCACGGCTCACGACGGATCATGCAGTACCAATCGCGCCTAGCGATTTTGTGCCGGTCGACGCGTCCCTCGCACAACTTGCTTGGCAGCTTCTCGAACTCTGCAACAGTTAGGTGCCCCAAAAAAACGTATGGTTCTTTTCTGTTAAATACGGAATGACTGTGCAAAAATTGGCCCCGCCCCCGCTAATTTCGCGATTTTTATGGCGCGAAGGTTTTTTTCCGATTTTCATTATCCGTATGAATATGAATAGATTTTTACAATTCATCTTCATACCGAAAAGTCCATATAGTGAAAATCGGCGAAATGACATGTCGCGTCATAAAAATCGCAAAACGAACATTAACCGACCCTTGTCCAAATCGCGCCAGTCGTTGCCGTCGCTGCCAAAAGCTTTCTGCGCCTTCAGCACGATGTAGTCAATTTCGCGTTCTCGATTTTCCCATTGCTGTAAGAAGAGTTGCTAACCGGCCGAAACCATACCGTAATGATGGTTTGCAATGTGGGGACCAGCGTGTGGTTGAACTGCTCGAGCACCTCGGGGATTGGCTCGTACTTTTTGTGGTAGTTGTCAGCACTGCCAGGCACTAAAAAGATTTGCAGGACCTAGGGAAAAAACTTTTTTCCCTGAAAACGCTCGGGAACCCGCACCTTCTTTCATCACTGCCATATAGACGACGATCGTGGGCGTCTTCACGTCAACTAGGCACTTGGTCTCCAAGATCTCACGGCCGAAGTGCAGCCAAAGCTTCTTCAAGCCCTACAAAAACCAATTATTTTTGTGTTAGAAGGAGGTCATACCGGCATCAACATCAAAACGTCGTTGATCACAGCCCGTAGCTCGCCAGCCTGGCCAGCCGTATTCGCGTGGACGGCCACGCAGTACGGCTTCGTCTCGGCTACAAAACGCAATCTTAGACCCCAAATTCTGAATACCGATCTGGCGACACAGGACTTGCTTCGGGCCCTCGATCGGCAGCATGGCGGTGTGGGCACGCACGTACGGGATGGTCTTGTACTTCTCCGGGGAGGGCATCGGCCACCCGGGGCCGAATCCTAACTAGAAAAAAACAAAACTCGACGATGCGCAGGCGTCGTCGAGTTTCTGTTTTCAGTCGAGCACCTGGTCGAAGGTGGCGTTATTCAGGAGAATGTAGAGATCCTGGACGGCCGACGGCTCGCGATCCTCATCGGGGGGCACATGACGGCAGCGTTTACCATCAAACGAATGATAGAGATGATAATGGTACTGGTCGCGCTTGAAGCTAAATGGAAACGGTTAAGCGGTTGGGCTTAAGTGCAGTTTACTCCCCCCCAGCCGACTTCACCTACCGTATCTCGGCTCCTCGTTAACCTACAGGTGTGTAAAGTATACCAAAATACTCGCAAAAACAAGACAAACATTTTGGTTTATTTTACACACCTGTAGACAAACAGGGAGCCGAGATACAAAGGTTGGGCGCCGGCTGTTAGGGGGCAACTGCACT